AAAGTACTTTGACTACAAAATTTTGCGGAAATTCAAGCTGTCAGGAAGTCATTTGCAGGAGACAAAAGCATCTCCAGAGACTCGTGCGCGTTTAGAGAGTGTGGAAGAGCGATGTTGGTGTTAAGAGTAAAGAAAAGTAGAGCGGCTGGGGAGGGGTAGGGGGTGAGAAAGGGAAGAGTGAGCCTAACTGTGAAATAACGGGGTGGCCTTCTCACTGAAACAGGGTGGATGCGAGACTCATACGTCAGTTCCTTACGTCTGGGGATTGTTGGGGGTGCCATGGAAGCAGGTTATATTGATTTATTTATAGCGAGAAGATGGGGTTACTTGGCAAACACGTATCAAAAATCCCTGGAATTTCTTTTGGGCTTGGGAATATTCGAGGGGAGGCGACTGCAATCGATAGTCGGAAAAATAACTTCTTGAAAAAAGAAGAAACATTGAATTAACGAATTGAATTTCGTGGTAACTGGTGATTATTCGGATAAGGAGTGGACTTACGACTGAATGTCATAAAATTTTTTTTGCAGAAAATTCAATTTCCTACAAAAAAGTTTCTATGATTTTTCGTCGTAAGCCCACTCCTCATCCAGATAATCACTCCCGAAATAAAAACTCCAATTTTTCAAAATTCAATTCTCATTCTGAATTAATCACTAATTATCTAAGTAAAGAGTTGATTTACGACAAAATATGATAAAACATTTTTTCTGGAGAATTAAATTTCCTGGAAAAAAGGTCTACAGATTTTTCGTCGTAAGTCCACTCACTACCGAGATAATTCCAAAAGTTGAATCTGAGAATGAAAAGTGCATTGAATATTTGAATAAAACGAGATAATTTCGCGTGTTCAGCCCCCAACCCTGCGATGACGTAATATTGACCTGACAAAGGGTCACAGTGACCCCCCATTTACCTGTAACCAAAAAAAACCCGAGACGGAGCCGAAGATTTATAGCCTTTAAGCGACAGGTTGTAATCATAAGCATCATCCCGTCAACCCCGTGAAACTGATTTACCGTGGGAATTTAACAGAGTCATTTCGACATTCCCCGCATTCCTGCGGTTCACTTCCTCGAGCTGAAAAAAAAAACAAATCAAACGGACCAACACCCGTAATTAAGAATAGATGATTACATTCGGATGGTAATTACGGCGATAATAAAATTTTCAAACCGCAGGAGTGAGATGTGAATGCTGGGTAAATTGAGAATTCAAGGTGCAACAGTCGTGCAATAACCGTCAAGCTTTGTTACCGAGTTTTCGGGGCGGTATTAACCTCTCAAAAAGACTATCTGACGTTTACGTATCCCTGGATGGACGTGAATACGATGACCGCGTCATGTATCCGTCAAGTGTGTCTCACCCGATTCCTCGGCAATCTTGTCGACTTTATTTTAGACTCAGACATACGGCTCACAACGACCGGGTGACAGTTATAAATTGGCATGGGCTTTGAAATCGTCGCATTTAGAATTTCTTTATTGGGAAAGTATTTGGGGTTGCGATTTTTTTTGCGATTGATCAATCGAAAAACATCGGTTTTTAAACACGAATTGCTCGAGATTGGCTGAGTGGATTTGGGTAATTTTTTTTTTCTTTTTGAAGGTTTTTTTCGGGGCTTGAGGTGATTTTTGATTTTTTTAAATAGCATCGTTGGGTCTAGAGATATTGAGGATCGAAGAAGGTGCGTTTGACTTCATCTCGATCGATTCTTTCTCGAATTTCAAAGTGATAATTTTTTGTTTGGCGATACCTCGGGATTGGCAGAGTGAATCCGAGCGATTTTCCTTTCATTTTGAAGGTTTTTTTTCAGCGCTTCAAATGTGTTTTGATTTTTTGAAATTGCATCGTTGGGTCGGGAGATATCCACCCTTGAAGAAGGCGCATTTACCTCGTCTTAAAATTCATTCATTTCGTTTTTCATGTTCTGAAATAATTGAATTGCATTTCAAATATGCAAATTTGGGTTTTTATGTCTCTAAGGATACGATTGGATACTCCCCCAGAATATTCGAAAGTCAAGCCACGTGTCCTCGAAGGACGCAACATAATTTTTTCAACATTGTTGAAATGGACTATATCCTAGGCCTCAACAATTTAGCTGCATTTAATCGTTACACCATAAATCAGAAGTGGGTGAAACCTCTTTTGGGTTTCTCTCGCACGATACTGGTGCTCTCGTAAAAAATGAATTACGACCTGAAGTCGGGGGGATATGCCCAGGAGGACGCCAGCCCGGGTGAATATAGAAAAAAGGGAAAGGAGAGATACAATGTACACTGCGGCTGGTTATTTTCTTCCCAGTGCCACAAAAGGTGTCCACTTTGATCGTTAATTTGTGGACGGAGGATTATTTATTTTTTCTTCGCGGAAGGGGTCTGATCTTTGGGGAAATGTTGCGACATTTTGTGACGGGAATCCAAGATTCCAGGAAATAATTTGCGTGAGGAGACTTTCGAATGGATTGAGGAGACATTTGAATTTGGGGTTGGGGCAGTGCGGAATTTTATTGTTTATTAATTTTATGGACTGGGGGATTGAGGTAAGGGGTTATTGCGGGGACAAGCTATTACTGATATTTTTATATTGACTTCTAGTGAATAATAATAGTTTTTCTTTATTTTTATTGAGTTAAAGGATTTATGAACTTCTGAAGAAATTCGGGAGTTAAATTTTGTTAATTGTTCGACCCCTTTTCCTGCACATTTTCAAAATTTCTAAAATTCATATTCAAACAAATGAATAAAAAATGTGGAATATGAGAAAATTTGTATATTTTTTGAAACATTGCGAAATTTTTTAACTGTTTAAAAAACAGAATTTGTCTAAAAATTGATAGAAAATGGAATTGAGAAGAATTTTTCAATTTTCTTCTGATTTTGAAAGTTTTTATTCACTTCATAATTATGAAAATAATTGAATATTAACGCTGTTTCTTTATCTATTTATTAATTATGAATAAATAATTATTTATTTGAAATAAAATTATATTGTTATAATTTATAATAATGATATAATTATATTAAATTCTTATAAATAATTATAATATTATTATTCATTAGTTTATTCATTTTGTTCAAATAAATAAACAATATTTATTCATTTTATTATATAATTAAATAAATATTGTTAACGGAAAATTTAGAAATTGAAAAAATCCAAAAATCTGCAAAAATTATTTATAGCGCCCTCTTCAACCCTTTCTCCCCAATTCCCCTGAAATCCCCTGAAATTCAACATTTCCACAAAATTAATGGAAAAGTAAATTGCGCCAGCGACTGCAATTTTCGTGGCAGCGAAAATAGAAAAGAAATGCACTTTATTTTTCCAACAACGGAGGAGGATCCCCCGCCCGAATGGGGATACACGAGCGGAATGGAGCACGGGGGTGGCTGGGAAAAAACAAAAAACGAAAAATAAAAAAATTGAAAAAAAAAACAACGGGTGTGGGCCCTCCTGTGTGGGGAGATATAAGAGTAAGCCGGTGAGCAAAGTAATTTCACACGGGTGAGCGAGGGTGTTCCACGGTGTTACATTAGGAGAACCCGAGGGGGGAGGGAGAGCGGGAGAGTGAGAGGGAGAGATTGAAGCGAAAGGTACGTTACACAGTCTTATCTCGAAAATATAGCAAGCGACTTTTTCCCACCACAAAAATTATATTCTTGAATAAGAAATAAAATGAAGAAATAAAGGAAAGGGGAAAATGAGGGGAATGAAACGAGAAGAAAATTGCCATTGTTCTGGGAATGGTTTCTTTTATTCTGAGGACGATAAAGAGATATTTTTTATCTGGAGAAAATTGAAGAAAATTGCTTTTTGTTGGAGGTTTTTTTTTATTCACTAATTTTTTTGTATTCCACGATTTCGGGCTCTTATTTCTATTGGGTGACGATACAAATTGAGGTGAATGAAAAATCGTAATTGTTGTCATGTTTAAAAAAAAATCGAGATGAGACGACTTTTCCAATTATCGAATTATCTCGATAACACGTGGGTTTAGGAGGAAATGTCATATGATATTTTTTTTGGGAAATTCAATTCTCTACAAAAAAGGTCTTCACACATCTTTTCGTAAAACAACTCGTTACCGAGATAAGCGTAAATATGTTCATTTGGCTTTGGTAAATTTTTCCATTCGTCTCCACCATTTCAAATAATTCCCTCCATTTTTTTTCTCATTAAAAAAATTCATGGAAATGTCATGAAAATTTGTATGCACTGCGGCGATACTCTCCACATTGTATTCAAGGATTCCCACGTCATCATAAAAAATAATTGACAAAAAAATGGAAAGGAAATGAAATAAAATAGAGCAGAAAAACTTGCCACGAATTCCTCACAATTTTCCACCCGATTATCCATCTCTCATTTCACAGGTGTCGTATCAACTGACGTCTTGACGTCACCGCATACCCCACCGTTATTACAAAGTACACTTTTTTCCTCATACACAATGATCATAATTGTGCAATTATTCCCATTAAAGTCAATACTGGTTTCTCATCCTGCCATGGGAGGGAATTTAATTGAGAATAAAAATACGTGCTGAGGGGGAATGGAAGTGAGTTAAATGTCACATGATGGGTGATAAATAAAGCAGAGCTTTTTATTGACGAGAATAATACAGAGATTATTTTTAATTACGTAAATCCGGGAAAAATTGAATAATCAAGTTGATGTGACGGTTAATTATTGGACTGAAAGCCGAAGAAATTATTCATTTCGATTGAATAGAAATTTTTATTTGACATTTTTCTGAATAATTCAACAATACATTTTTTTTTAAATGATAAAAACATCAATTACGATGGAAATGGTTTATTTGGATGGAATAAATTTTAAATAGATAAATAAATAATCGAGAATTATAATTAATAATGAATAATGAATAATTGATTCCGAGAGAATAGAAATTTAATTAATCAATTACGCAATTGATTTATTTGTTGTTCTGTTAGAGGTTTTCATTAATTGTTTATTTTTATTTTTGGTCACAGGTAAATGGTGTCCGCGTAGAGAATGGAGTTCGCCGCCGGACGCACAAAGAGCAGCGAGCGATGCGGCGAGACGCGGTGTTCTCTACTCTTCCGTCTTTCTCGGCAGTCCTGGTGAGTCCTAGTTCTAAATAATTAAATTATTGCAATTTTTTTCGGGTTGAAGAGGAAGAAATGGTTGGCGTTGGGTTTGGGAATTGAGGGAGAGGGTTGAAAGGAATAAATTCCAGGGGAATTGGGATTGAGAGACAATGAAAAGTTGTTGTTTTTTTATTTAAAACGTGAATTATTAATTAAAATGCGGAATTTTGAATTCAATAGATTTTTTTTGTGCATTCAAATAAAATTGAAAAATTAATTTCATAGAATTGCTCTAGAATTTTACCAGAATAATGATTTTTCGCAGCAAAAAATTGTGGAATTAAGAAAAAATTGAAATATTTAGGAATTGATTTTTTTTACAAATAAATAATTTATTTAAAATTTAGTTAAATTCATGGGTAACATTCCGGAATTATTTCCTCACAAGGATCAGCTGCGATGAGCCACTAGAGCCCTTTTATTAACTAAAAAATTCTTTAATTTCAAATAAAAATTTTCAATTATTAAAAACAATTTTTTGAAAAATTGAAAATTCTACCAAAAAATCAATTAAAAAATTCTCAAACAAAAAAGCTGTTCAACAATTGATTTGTCTCACCGCATGCCGTGAATTCCCCATCAGAATCCAAAACTTTGAAAAAATAATTTTTCCGAATTTAATTTTAAATTTAATTTGCGCAATAATTAATAATTAATTAAAATACTTGAAAGTGAAAATAAAAATCTTGCAATTCGTTCATTAAATTCGTTTGCAACAGCGAGAAGGGGGGAATTCGCTCATTGATTTCACCCCCATACAATTAATTCCCCTCTCCCCCCGAAAATTTCAAAACTTTGAAATGCAAGTGCGCAGAGAGTAAACATCAGCCCTGAGTTTTACGTGTTGGTGGAATAACGGGCAATGCTCGAAATGGAAACACAGCGGGTCGTGGCAGTGGGTGCGTGTTGGGTAGTAGGTGGGAATAATCATTTTATGGTATAAACAACTTTTAATCGTGCCTCGGGCATTCGTTGCCGTTGAATAAATATTGATACCGTATGACGCCGTCCACCAATCGCAATATCACGGGTGTTCTTTTCCACGTACACACGTACCGACAGTTTTCGGTTGAGATACGACATTTGCTTATTCATCCATCAACATTCAAATCTCATGAAAAATTATCAAAAAATCATTGAACTCCAATTTTTTATTCATTTTTCTTCAATAAAAAAAGCAAAAAAAATCTGATACCTTTTGAATGTGACGAGATGATGAAAAGTCAAGTTTTGAATGATTAATGGATTAATTAACGGACAAAATCAGCGGGAATTTCGAAAATTTAAATTTAAAAATTTAAAAATTTATGAATTTTTCTTGAATTATAAAAAAATTAGGAATCTTATTCAATTAAATTTATGCGTGAGATGTTTTTCAATGAAAAGGCATCTAAAAACGTCCAGTTTTCATTGACTGATGAATTAATTGATCGGCAAAATCGGCGGGAATTTTAAAAATAAAAATCTACAAAGATCAATTTTTTAATAAAAATGACAAAAAATTGAATAAATTGCGAATATCTCACGAACTGAATGAGATAAGTAAACAATTCTTTTTTAAAATCCGACCTGAAGAAATTTCCCACATCATCCGCTGGTCAACAACCCGTTTTGCCCCTTGGAGCTTGAAAATTCGCTTTTTCTTGACTTTTCAATTCATTTTTCTACAACTAAAATTCAACCCGTTCTTCTACGAACAAAAAAAAATAAGAATTTCATTCAATCGAATGAAAAATTCAAGTTTTCATTGCCAAACGAATTAATTAACGCCCGAAATCGCCGCAAATTTCGCAAAATCAAAATGCACGAATATTTTTTCCTAAAAATGTAAAAAAATTATGGAATAAACTGCGTATGGTCTCAGCTATCGCGCAAAAGCCGAAGAGCACGGTGGAGTTATAGTCACCATGGCAACGTGGCTGAGGCGGGAATGCGATGGTAACCATGGCAGCCGTGGGTTTCTCTCAGCCGCGCAGCCCAACCTGTCCGTCCTCTTTCAGTCTCTTTTTCTCTCCCCTCCCCCCTCACTTTTACCTCCTCACCCTTGAGTCCTGCACACACACACACACACACACACACACACATGTATCAGTCTTTCTCACCGGTTCGCCGAGGTCCTCTTCCTTCCGCCCACTGGAAATCCCACTGCAGCTCATCTTCGCGGAGTCTTTTCATCTCGTTTTTGCTCCTCTCCGTTGTTTTGGTATCGAAGAAATAGTTCAAACGTTGTTTTTTCCTTGATAACGGGGGATTTTGGTGATAAGAGCTATCTCATCGGCCAGCCAGTGAAATTTTCGACTCAAAATCCTGGTCATGAGTCATTTTTTACCGATTTTTCATCGAAATATCAACGAAAACCGTCTTCAGCGCTCATTAAATACTTTTTTGAATGTTCCGGTCATCGCCGGGGCAAAATGGGTTCTAAAGTAGGGTTTTGAATCGGAAATTTCCCCGGCCGTCCTATGACACCATTTTTGACCCCCTCGCCTTCCCAATTGTCTAGATATTCTCAAAAATAGTTAAAAACAGAGAATTTGTTTAAAAATTGATAAAAAATGGAATTGAGAGGAATTTTTTAATTTTCTTCTGATTTTGAAAGTTTTTATTCACTTCATAATTATGAAAATAATTGAATATTAACGCTGTTTATTTATCTCTTTATTAATTATGAATAAATAATTATTTATTTGAAATAAAATTATATTGTTATAATTTATAATAATGATATAATTATATTAAATTCTTATAAATAATTATAATATTATTATTCACTAGTTTATTCATTTTGTTCAAATAAATAAACAATATTTATTCATTTTATTATAAACGTTGTTTTTTCCTTGATAACGGGGGATTTTGGTGATAAGAGCTATCTCATCGGCCAGCCAGTGAAATTTTCGACTCAAAATCCTGGTCATGAGTCATTTTTTACCGATTTTTCATCGAAATATCAACGAAAACCGTCTTCAGCGCTCATTAATTACTTTTTTGAATGTTCCGGTCATCGCCGGGGCAAAATGGGTGCAAAAGTAGGGTTTTGAATCGGAAATTTCCCCGGCCGTCCTATGACACCATTTTTGACCCCCTGGCCTTCCCAATTGTCTAGATATTCTGAAAAATAGGGACTACAACTGAAAAGGAAACTGAAATCGCGACTTTCAAATCAAATTGAGATGAAAGAAAAATAATTAATAATGTTTTTTCGTCCATTTTTGGCGTTTTGAAAGGTGGGGCATGGTTTACGGAACATAATTGATCAGTATCGATCGAAAAATGCGGATTAGTTCGATTAAATAGAGCGGACTAGACGAATTTAACTCGTTGCAGTGCGCGACCTTAATGCCGACGTCTCAATATGGCGCACGTCACCCTTGATTCAATCACCAAGATATTTTCTCCGGTTGGATGAAGACGATTGCATAATAAATCACCTGTGTAGTGCAGAATTAATATTGTCTGGTGAAATATAACCGCGGAACGTCGGGATTTTCTGAGTAATAAAAATCGTCAACTTCCTGAAGTTGAGGTGATTCAATTATCTCGGCAACTGCGAGTTATCTCGTCACAAAAATTATCTCGTCGAGTAGACTGGAAAATTTCCGATCCAAAACCCTGGTGAACAATCGATTTATATCGATCATTCATTGAAATATCCGCAAAAAACGGTTTTAGTCCTCTCAAATTGTTTGGAGAATATTCCCATCAAAAATGGGGCAAAATGGGTTCATGACCAGGGTTTCGGATGGGAAATTTTCCCAGCATTGGGGTGAGATTTTTTTCGGCCCTCTACCCCTCCCCATTTTTGAGATATCGTTGAAAATCGAAAGATTGAAATTTTTTATTCGGTCGGTGAATAAAAAAATGTCATTTTCTTTTCTTAAGGGAAGAAAAATTGGGTAAATGAGGCTATTTCCAGATCTACTAATGCCCCCGAGTCCCAGAAACCCTCAACATCTTCAGCCCCCCGCGAAAAACTCTCCCAGAACTCCAGATTGGGTTTTGGAAAAACAAATTAGGGCAAAACCGCAAACAAATTCGTTGAAATTTACTCGAGGACGCAACATCGGTGATCTCGTTACCTCCGCACACATATATTTACCGTGCGCCATCGTACGCCTCCACTTTAATGGCGAGAAAGAGTGGCGAAGAGAGGGAGAGAGAGAAAGAGAGAGAGAGAGGAGTTTCACTCACACGTGGAAATCCCTCGGTTTTTCGTGAATAGCACACACTCACACAGACTCACCGTAAACCAACGTCCGAGGTACTCTCCCTCCGAGTGGTACCGTAATGTAAGGGTTGGACGGGAGGGAAAACTCGTTCTCGGTCGGGGGGTGGGTTAAAACGTAGCCTGAGTGAGTGAGAAAGATAGAATTGTGAGTTTAAAACCCCTCGGGGCTTGAGGTCCATGCTGGGGCCTCCGCGTTTTAGATTTATCGGATGTTTTGGTTGGCGGCCATTGTTAACCCGCCCTCTCATTCTCCTTTCTTTCGGTACGGTGTAAATCCAAGCGGTTATTCATTTTTTTGAAAATATTTTAGGGATTCCGGACGATTTTCATTTTTAGGTTAGAATGGGGCGGTTAGTTTTTCACGAATTTCTCAAGACCAGAAATAGATAGGGAAATGGGTCTCAAGTCATTGGAAAGTCTGGAAAATTTCCCATCTTGTGAGGTGGTCATGGATATCTATATTCCAATTATTTCTCAAGAAATTTCACTTTGAAAAATTGAAGAGAAAACGAAAAATTTTTAGGTTAGGAATCTGTCGTCTCCTTTTTTGGCGATATCTCAGGATCTAGATGAGATAAAATATTTTTCTTTTTTTCAAATGAAAGGTCGGAAAATTTCCGATTCCACCAGGTGGTCACGAATCTTGATATCCCCATTATTTTCCACAATAATGCAACTTTTAAAAAATGTGAAATTTTTTTTCCAACAATTGTGGAGAACACATTATGAAAATATTTGTCGTCCT